AAAAAAATCGTTGAGCCGTTTTGGCGGAAGTGACGAACTGCAAGCTTTTAATGCTTATATCTTCTAAATGCGAATTTTGTCACTGTTTTGGAGCACACTGCATTATAGATAACCTTAAGACTAACATATTGATACTAACACCCAAAAAACTTACATTTTGATTTCATGGGGACTTTCAATTTTGCGAAGCTACGAGAATATATTTTGTGCACAAAGAAAACAAAAATAACATAATTTATTCAACATTTCTTCTCTCCGAGTTAGCGTCTTCCGCCATTTTGGAGAGTACCCCGATGCATGCGAGTGCTATCCTTTCGGGATTAGAACTCTGCCACAATTCTGCGCGCGAAAAATCATATTTTGAGTGCGCAAAAGTGCGTTTTGCACAGGCACGAACTGTGTTTTGTGGAGAAAATGTTTGAGAAGAAAGGAAGAAAGTATTTAGAGCGCACGAAAATCTATTTTGCATTTAAAATAAGTTTTTGGATGTGTGCAGACCTGCACGTGCAAACCGAGGCTGCTAAATTCTGATTGGCTGCCTTGACAACCAATCACAACATTTCTTGCATTACCTCGACAGCAGAAGGGGACAAATACAGTGCATGCATAATTATTATGCAAGTTGATATTCTGATCATATTTTTTCCAAGCACATTTTACCAATTCCAAATGACATCAATCTTAATAACTACTATTAATCTTGTATTTAATCATTTATAATTGATATATAATTATTCATGAATGCTGGAAGTGAAAAATGTCTTATATTCAGGTGTGCATAATTATTAAGCAGATTTTCTTTTACATATAAAATGAGCCAAAAAAGAGATTTCACTCAGACTGAAAGTAAAAAATTATTAAATGCCCATGAGAAATATTCAAAACTAATACAATACTAGAAATTGCAAAGTGAATGCATAACCATTGGACAGCAAAATGCTCAGTGGGTCAGCAAGGTCAGTCAAAAACATGTGGAGAAGAAAAGATGCATGTTAACTGCAAAAGAATTAGGAATTAAGGTGAAGAATTAGGTGTGAAATCACCAGGGACTATTTAGTCTCCAGCGCCACCATTTTCCAGAACTGCAACCTAGTCTCCAGAAATACAAGGTGTCAGATTCTCAGAGACTAAGTATAGAATCCAAAAAAAATGACCCCTACTTAATAAGAATCACATACTGAAGTGTAGTAAAATACTTGA